AAAATCGGCCCCCGAAGTGGTCCGCCTAAAGTCGATACCATGTTTCAAACACGGGATTTCCAGTTCCAAGTGCTTTACCCCTCAGCCACAGCATCTCCATATATTCATTTAGCCTACACTTATATTTTTAAAAATAATAATTATTAACATTATCTGTGCTTTCAGAATCAATAACATGTTGCATGTAATAAATAGAAACTAAAAAAGATCTATTCTTCTTTCAAAATTAGATAAATTGACAACACGAAAAAAAAATAAATTCTTGACTTGTTTGGGCTTTAGGCTTAGGTAGTGAGCTAGTTTAGAAATGACTTGGACAAGACTTTCTCCTCTTAAATAAAAACTAATATCTTCATTGATAATTTGTCATACAAACTTGATCTCGATCTTGCTAGTTCTAGATCTTTAATCAAGAACTAGATTTAGATCTAGACTAGAATTCGTATGACTTTACACGTTTAATCTAACAATTACAAGATCTAGGAAAATGTTATGTGTAGGCCTTTTGATACAGGCTAATGGTATAGGGCCTACTATGTTGTTCGTATCCGATTCATTTCTTTATGAGATACTACTGTTTACATAATAAATAAATCTGCACCCCTAAGCTGTCCGAAGATAAGTTATTGCCTTAATAGGTTTTTTTTTCAAATTATTAATACATTTATGATATCCCTCTATATATGTATATTAGAGCTGGGCACTATTTACTCTTATTTAGACTGACAAGTGTATAATGACTTATGAGGATATGTCAAAACTGCGCGCTATAAAAGTAGTTAGTTTTTTTTAAACTTATAATTAAATCGAAGTTCGTATTAAAATTCTTTTTTTAAAAACAACATTTCAAACAGTATTCCATTTAATGAATTAGTTAACAAATGGAAAATATATTTTATAATGATTTTTCATCTAAAAGTGGTGTATTTTTATGAAAAATCTGCTTGCATATGTATTTTCTAAAAAAAATCAAATGGTTCACTTTCGTAAAAGAAAAAAGTAGCCGTTGCATCAGAACTTGGAATGATCTAAAACATCATGATGTCCGATTTTCATTTTCTCTTCTAGGTTCTTAGATCTGAACGGGACGGACTGACATTACGCACACCACTGAAAGCGTCTTTTTCCCTTTCGGGGGCCGCTAAAAAGAAAAAGAAAATGACAGAAATCAAGTTCAAGCAGTAATAAATATCTCAGCCTAAGAAAAACTAAGAATAAAGCCTAAAACAAGAATCTCTCATTGGAACTGCAGAAGTCAAGTTTTGAGTACAAGTTAGAACTACTCCGAATATTAAGTTACAATTGATCTCTAAACGTGACACAGGAACATGAAGTAACATGAGCTGGGGAAGACGAGGAGCAGAACAATTGTCCAATATTTAATTTTGGACTTCTACCTGAGAATGTCACATTATAAAAAAACACCAACTCATATTTTATCAACAATCTCTAGTAAGTAAACAATCAACTATGAACGGCTTGCAATGAAAACCAAGGTAGCGCTTCATCCCAGATATAGAACTTGACATTTGATCTCTCTGATGGTTTAATTAATTTAGAAAATGGAGAAGAGGACATCGAGACATTAAAATGAATTTTAAAAAATCGATTCAATATAATATTCTAAGATCGGGTCATCTCTTGAAACAAATGTACAAGCATCTATCCGAGTTGAACATTCTTCTTGTAGAAATTCGGCATTATATTTAGAGTCAGGAAATTAAACTTTTATTGAGTTACTCTAATGGAGCTAACCCAAGTGATAAGTATTTCTAAAACAACATCATTAGAATTAGAATTCTACCATTAACATTCATATAGAACTAAACCATACCCTGATTGCCCTTATACATTTAATACGCTTAGGAGCTCATTCAATCAATTACGGGCAATGTTTTGTTGCTCTGGATGAGGCAAAATAAGTAGATCGCAGCTGGGGCCACGTGAAATACTGGGTCCCGGTCATCTCATCCCCGGTCACTTCATCAACGGTTATTTCATCCCTTGGTCATTTCATCCCCTGGTCATTTCATCCCCCGGTCATTTCATCCCCTAGTCATCTCATCCCCGGTCATTACATACTTACATATACATGTAGAAATGAAATATAGATAGAAATAAAGTCCTATAACAAAATTTATAACTTTAATGTTTTAAAGGAATTAAAGTAAAAACTTATATAGGCTATAGGCGACATGATATCCTGAGGATGGGTGAAGTCAGACTTTATTAGAAAAAAACAAACAAACCTTATTTCAAGGCTAAAAATGACGCGCTCATTTTCAAGACAGAGCGATTGAAAAATAAAATAAAGTGAAACATGGTCGTACTTCCACCACACCTTGGCACGGTCATAATTATTCTAATCGCACTTCTATCTCTGAAAAGATTTCCACTCCTTGCACCACACCTTGGCCTTTGATGATAAGTTATCAGCGACACGGTCACAATTATTCTAATCGCACTTCTATCTCTCAAATGATTTTCACTACTTGGCCTTTGATCATGCGTAGGATAATGTTTTAATATTACACCCCCACATCCAATAGAAGCGCTATAGATAAGTGCACACCCAGATTTACAATATATTGTAAGATGTCTCATCAAGAATGCAAAGTGGAAGAGGAAACACTATAAACGCATTAGTAACATGTCAAAAAATATCAATAAGCATTCTACATAATCATATTTATATATTAGATGAAATGAGGGCTTAAAGTCAAAGCCCTAACAGCACAATTAAACAATGAAAAAGAAAAATATTTAATTGGGATGAAATGACCGGGGATGAAGTGACCTGTCACCGAAATACTGCATTCTTCATTAATCTTCGGACTCGAAGACAAGCTTTATTAAGTTTAGTATCTTAATACTGTTTATCTATCTCTATCTATCTATCTATCTATCTATCTATCTATCTATCTATCTATCTATCTATCTATCTATCTATCTATCTATCTATCTATCTATCTATCTCTCTAATAAAAAAATGAGTCTTATTGTATTAATACAAGGTCTGCTATCACGTTTTATTTAAAAAAATGACTAATTTTTAATGACACAATCTGGGCCCTACTAGACAAAGTTTGAAGTCAGTGAACATCCTGAATCCATGGCTTCTACGTTACTGCAAACAATAATACATTATGAATTGTTCTATACACCCGCCCGCCTCAGTTTGGGAAGTAACAAAACGAAATCGTGTCTTTTTCCATGAGAAGAATTGGTCTGAGGAATGTGAAGTATTTGAAAATTCTGCATGGATCTCAGTTGTGGCATATTTACAGATCTTCATTGTCACGTGAACAAATTAAATATTAAGAAACAGTGATATAACCATCTATTTTCGATATCTGGGGAACCTGAAAGGTTTCAAACAACTTACTTTATGTAGAAATCAGTAAAGTAATAAAGTAAAATTTCTTCTTTCAGACCTCGCTATATATAGTGCAGATGATGTTAAGGTAATCTGTTTCTGTGGCCAACGGTTAACGAGTAGCTAGCTACAAATGACTTGTCTCATTTCATGACTTAAAATGCACTGACTGTTGTAAAGAAAATTAAACTTAGGTTTGATGAAGATAATTTGATAATTTCATGGAGAATTTCAAAAAGAAAAAATTTTAAAACTTCTCCGCTCTTGTAAACGTTTTTGATATTTTCAAAACGCTATTTAGTGTCACTTGTAATGGAGTACAACCATGCAGATAGAACTCTTTCAAACTATTTCATAATTAGAGCTTGCCGAGATGAAGTTTTATTCAAATTTCATTTCTCTTGCTTATAGAATTTGTACAATGTTTGAATTTTCTTTTATTTATGTGCCCACCAGAAAAATATGTCAGAAACGTTTGCCCATCACTGTCTTAAAATACTCATCCTAAGGTAAAAACTTGACGTAAGTAAGGCTTATCATGAGGGAGACAATGCTCATTCTTAAGTCATGTTAGAGTTACATTCCTTGTTAGGAGGAAGACTCACGACCTATGTGTCATGCATTGTGCTCATGTCACCTTGTGACGCTGACGTGACTCTCCAGACACAATGGAGGCTGACGTAAGAAACGAGGTCACGTTCTGCTAATTTTGAAGAGCCCTAAAAGTGTCTCTCTCTTTTTTTTGTTTTTTGTTTAAAGAAACTATTCGATTAGAACTGTTCCCATTGAAAAGAAGAGATGTATTCGGGACGAACTGAAAGTCAACACTCCCTTGAATAGAAGGAAAGATATCAGGTGTGAAGTTACTACACTTAATTTAATGAACATTTTTTTTTTGACATGGATACGGAAAACTATGTTAGTGTCTTTATTGTAGCGTCAGTATGGATTCAGTATTATTACCACGATTGTATTTTGTAAAGTTATATCTTTGGGCTTGTAGTGGATGAAGTAAGTAAGATGTTTAGCTGAAATAATTCCTCAATACTTTCAAGTGTCAGAAGAAACATTGACACACTGTCTATGATTTTTATTGATGTAAATCATGACATGAGTCGTAGGATGTTTGTAGGCAAGTCACTCATACGCAGCATTACAGTACTGACAACAATTAGAGGAACTACTTGCGACATGGACATAAATGGGACAGTTTGTAGAACGTAATACAATATCAGGTTTATATACAGGTGAATTAATCCAATGTGAATGATGATTCAAGATGAACACAACTTTCCAGCTTTACTTGACAGATCCACCACTTGACTGTATGTATATAAACTGGTTTCATTCATACAATTACTTGCTTCAACTTTTACTAATGACCTCTACTTAATTCATTAACTCATTTTACTCGACTGTTACCTGCATTTCACATCTGCTGACTTCTGATTGTACCATACTTTAACTTTTAACTTCTGACTATCAAAGACTCTCAATCTCTCTACCGCTGCAACCACATGGCGTTGCTTCACATATGTTCAGTTCACGCTCTTATTCACATAATTCAGTAAAGTTAATGAGGTAACACATAAGTTCACTATTTTGACTGTGACACTAACAAAAAAAAAGGTCACAATTTAGGTGAGACAGTAAGTTACTTTAAGATCCCCAAAGTTAGAGAGCAGAGCAGAGGAAGGATATGTACACACTGACTTTCAAATACTAAACATTTTTTTTTGTCTAATTTTATATTTTTTTTTTTTACTTTTACTTTTATTATTTTTCAAATTTATTTTATATAATATATTTTTTTTTAATTTTATAATTTAATTTTTTTTTTTTTTTTTTTTTAAATTTTATTAATTCTTACTTTTTTTTCTAATTAAACCTTTTTTTTTTGTACATCTGGTGTAATAACTACTACTTATACTAGCTAAGTGTTTCGATATATCTAAATATCTAATCCAGTAGTCGTAATATAAGGTAGTCATTACCCGGCTATCTACACAGATCACAGCAATGATGTGGTCCCCCTTACGCGAGTAGTGCTGTCGACTCAATACTCTAAGAATTTCTTCCGTAAATTCTCAACTGGCAGTTTTGTGGGTTATGTGGAAACAGACACAAAGATATAGGTGCATGTGGCTTCACAGTGTGGGAATCTTATGTGGTGAAAATCTCCTTTCATGACATCCAGCTCTTTTAGTACCTTTAGAGTATTTCCAGATTGGAACAATGAAGTAGCCAATAGTAGCTAAACCTAGATCTATTAAACCTTTCTAGTAGTTTTGTCCACGGTGATGAAATTAGTTTTTCAGGTTCTCTTAAGGCTACTATCAATGTATAACATCATCCGAATATCCTAGGAACACAATAGAGTTTATTTTATTATAACCTAAACATGGAGTGAATTTTGGGATGCTGGGTAGGACGAAAGAGTCGAAATGTTAAAGGAGCGTGTTAGCTTGCGAAGTGTTAGATGGCTGTGTTGAGACATGAAGACAATAGAACAAACAGAAACTTAGAGACAGTGAACAGACCAGGACAGTAACGTAAGACTAGACAAACACTGAAACACAAAATTCAGCAGAAAAGTAACTTGGCACTGTATGTTAGAAATACAACGATGTGTGGAAATGTTAAGGACACTAGTTTTTTAAGAGTGCAGAGTGCCTAAAGTTCTATCATCTATTTATAGGAGAAGACTTAAAGTGTAAATTTGAATAGTTCTGTTACTACCGCAAGAAGTAAGACTATTAGGGGAGCCTAAAGTGTAGTCACACCTAGCGGACCCATGTTTTGGAACAATATATCTCACTTTTATACTCCCTTTGAACTTCATAGTTCTAATATTGGTGAACATTTTCACAAATAAATCTTTTTATACTTTGCCAATGAAAAACTAGGTTCATATTACTGAAACAAAACTTTGTCTAATTTTTTTTTATGACCCTCTAATAGTGAAAAACAACAAAAAACGAATACTACTACGTGCAGAGGTTATACTTTAAAAACTGTAATGTACACTAGAGTCAATGCGGCAATTGTTGTCAATTTGTAACGGCCCCTTTTAAGACTTAAAAGGTAAAAGAAAAGACACATGCAGGTTTTTAATTTGAACATACTTTTAGGAAATGAGTATTACTGCAATAAAATGTTTCTAAAATGTGATATAATACTGAATGTTTTCATTATATTTACTCTAGTAAAAAAGGGGAAGCGCTAGGCATAATTGTAACGCAAAGGATGGCTGCCTGAGTGTAAGGTTTTCGTTCTGGAATGACGTATACATGTTCCCGCGTTCGAGCCCTGCCCCCCCCCGCCCCCCGACGTACTTCGGAAGGTCGGGGCTAGGATGTCATAACCCTCTATTCTGAAAGAACATTAAACAACATCATACAATGTAATGATAGAGCAGGCATATGTGTAATACAACTATGTAATTATAACTGTTATAATTTGAATTTTATTTTAAAAGAAATTAATATTTTCAAAGGCAGATTTTAATCTCTCTCTCACTCACTTACACACACACACACATACATAAGCATATACACTTTTCCCCCCATTTTTACTTTTAAGTGTTTTTTTAAATAGTTACAACTAGTAGGCCTACTTTTGGTAAATAAAGGGAGCTAAACGTGAAGAATGTTTTAACAAATTTTAAAGAGTAGAAATTATTTTATTAATTCCCTTCCTTCATACTAACTATAATAAAGTCATTCCTTTGTAGAAGTAGCTTTTTAGTTTCTTAATTGCTTTTTATCATTTTATACATCATTTATCGTACACTCCAAATCTCAGCAATATGCACGTTTATACAAAGTGAAATAAATTTATTAATTGTATTTTAGAATCCTCTTTGTAAATACACTATATCTTGCTACACAGAGCAGGTAATTACTAAACATATTTTACTCGCGGCCCGCGTATCACTGACGATAACGTCACTGAGAGTTTTTTTGGAAACAATTAAACCAAATAATAATTCTATAAGAAAGGGAATGCGTGAATTAAAAAATAGTATTAATGGAGCCATCAAAATAGCTAATCGACCTAAATCCATTTTTTTTAAAATAAAAACATTTGCTTGTAGGTCTACATATATTTAGATCTAGAGTCTAGATATTATTATAAAAGATGTAGACCTACTATTGTAAGTGTGAATTCAACGGCCCAAGAAGCTTATTATTATTGTATATTAGTATATGTAATATCCCCCATATAGAGCCTCATGTAGCCTGTCCTATCAAAGTGTATTTGAATAGCGGTGTGCACGACACACGAAGGGGTGACAAAAAGCGATAAAATATATTTTATAATAAAATCGAACGCGTGAATGTAATTGTTTATCTAACATTGTTAGTTTAATTTCATGTAGATCTAGAATCTAAACAATTTGAATGCCACAGCAGTCTAGTCAATAGATAAAAACTTTGAGCCTATTATAGTAAAAGACTATACACTTTGTTGTCACTTTGGGGCTGTGTTTCCTTAGATACTGTAGGCTGTAGTGTTGTCCTAGATACCGCTCCTTGATGAATGAAGTGTTGTAAACACGTCTAATGTATATGTGTAGCTATGTTGTTATCAGGTCTAAATGCGCTTAAGTAAATCTGAAAGAAAAAAGTCAATGGAAAGTAATTAAACCTAATCGGTAGTTGTAGGGTAAAATACTTTAAAAAACACAATGGAAAGTAAATTGTATTATGTAAGTAGTTTACTTGTTTAATAATATGCCTTTATAAAGCGTTATATTATGATCTCTGACGTTAATTTCATTCGCATCATTACGCGGGCTCGAGTTATGGAAAAGTGTGTCAATGCGGCTAAAGCTATTCTCGCGTTTAGAGCAAACGATTTTATGTAAAAAATGTTTTGTAAACTCATATTTGAAGGTTAATTTTCATTAAATAATGAAATGAATAGACACTTATTTGTATTTTCATGCGTAAAATTACAAAATTGTTTTCTTAAATGAGAGCTAATTTAGATCTAGCATTTCTGCGCATGCGTCACCTTTCCGTCATGTAAACATGATCAAGATCCATAAACTACTATAGAATTGATAGAGTTGGTCTTTTTTTTTTTGAGGGTCTTAAATTTGTTTTAGGGATAGAATACATACACTACGGTCTAAGTTGGTACCCAAGGAACATTTCTGCCAAGTTTTATCAAGATTAGTCAAACGGTTTTGATTTCTATTCGTCACATACATACATACATACATACATACATACATACATATGGCATACATACATACATACATACATACATACATACATACATACATACATACATACATACATACATACATACATACATACATACATACATACATACATACATACATACGCCTTACTTTCTACTTTATAAAGTAGATTATTATTGACGTAATTCAAATTCACTGGATTTGTATTGTATGTACTTTCAGATGAAGAATATATACTACATACTTCGTTACTATACCATCAACTCGTCCCTGTATTGTGGCAAAATAATAATAAACTTATGCTTTTAAAAACTCTGACCGCTACTTAAGTCCTACAAAGAGCGCGCCTGCAAGACATCAACACAATCCTGATGCAGTCTCAGCCTCGATGGGAAGGTCACATCTGCAGAATGGAAGACTCATGCATCCCTAAACAAAGGGGAAGGGAAGCGCCTTCAAGATGAACAAAGAAATCGCTTCAGGGACACTTCGCCTTCAGCATTGATCCAGCCACTTGGGAGGCGAAGCACACGATAGAGCATCAATTCTTCGAGCTGTGAAAACATGCGCACAAATTGCAAAGGATAAGAGAACAGCGCTTGCAGAAGAAAAGAGCAAAGCGTCAGAGAAAAAAAAGCAAGGCCGTAGGTCCACAAACAGATGACGTTTACATTATCTGCCCTATAGATCATAAGGTCTGAAAGGGGAACTTTTACTTATAGTAATAAGGGAGCCTAACCCTGTAATTTCCAGATATTAGCAGTATATAGCGGTTTATTCCCTTAGATAATTTTGTTAAAAAAAGTCTTAGTTTTTCTATTGCTTGTTGGTATTGCTGCATGTCGTATATGATACATGCTGGAATGATTTTAGGTTTTCCTAAGGATATTTCTGTATATTTCAAGCGATATAGAGATATATACAAAGACCGAGAGAGAGAATGAGAGAATGAGAGAGAGAGAGAGAGAGATAGAAAGAGAGAGAAAAAGAAAGGAAGAGAGAAAAGGAGAGACAGAAATATACAGAGAGAAAGCGAGTGAGAGAGAGAGAGAGAGAGAGAGAAGAGAGAGCAAGATAGAGTCAGAGATCGTGAAATATTGCGAACAAATCAAGCTTCGATAATTAACTTGTCTAGACATTTAAGCGTTAAATTTGAGGTACTTTGATCATTGAAGGATTGATTTTGCTTAGCTTAGATTATTTCTCCCTCGTTGATCAGATGGCGTGCTATCATTTTCTTTTGTAGAGCAGGTGAATAAATAAAAAAAAAGAAGCAATTAGTTCAATCTTAAGTGAGACAGTCACAGTACGCTCATAGCTGAGGATTAGCAAGTTCAGGATCAATGCCACCTCTAATGTTTTCAACCAGTTATTTGTCTCACTACTCAACCCCTATCAGAATGACACAACGACACAAGTATATAACTTATTGACTTCCAATACCTGACATGTCACAAAAACATCCACCGCCCTCCAATAAAACCCCCCCCCCCCTCTTCACACACGGGGGGGTTGCAAAAAAAAGGTATTTCTTCGTGTTTTTGTTTTGTATTTTTATAACGGGGGAGGGAACAAAGAATCTACACACATGAAATGGGGGGGGGGGGTGCACAGGGCTCTCTTGCACGCAAGCGAACAAAAA